GAATACTGGGGATACTGGGACAGGGTACGGGGACAGGGGACTGGGGTGGAATACTGGGGGTACTCGGATGGGGTACTGGGGTAACTGGGGGTACTGGGATGGGGTACTGGGGTGGAATACTGGGGGTACTCGGATGGGGTACTGGGGTATCTGGGGGTACCGGGATGGCGTCCAGGGTTACTGGGGATACTGGGAGGGCTGGTATCCCTGGCCATACTGGGATCCCAGCATTCCCACCCCTCTCCCCCAGCTCCACAGGTGCTTCCGGCTGCAGGTGGAGAGCTGGCGCTGCCGGGGCCGGCCGGAGCGCGCCCTGGACGCGGTGGCCCGGTGGCTGCTGGCCCTGGGGACACGCTGCCAGGGACTGGGGACACACTGCCAGGGACTGGGGACACACTGCCAGCATCCCCAGCCCGTCCCGGGCCAGCCCAGCTCCCTGGTGGCTGAGCCCGTGGCGCTCTGGGCCAGGATCAAGACAGAGGCGGCCAAGCAGGGAGCGGAGGAGCTGCGGCTGTGGTGAGGGGATTTGGGATCGGGGAATGGGGATTTGGGATTGGGGAATGGAGATTGGGGAATGGGGATTTGGGATCGGGGAATGGGGATTTGGGATCAGAGAATGGAGATTGGGGATTTGGGATCAGGGAATGGGGTTTGGGGCTTTGGGATTGGGGAATGGGGTTTGGGGATTTGGGATCAGGGAATGGGGCGGGGGATCGGGGTGGCAGGATTGGGATGGGGGGATTGGGCTGGAGGATTTGGAGGAGAGGATTGGGATGGGGAGAATGGAGTGGTGGAATTTGGGTTAGAATGGGGTGGGAGGCATTGGGATGGGCTAGGATGAGGGAATGGGATTGGGATGAGGTGGGATTGGGAGGGAGGGGAATCAGGAGCCCCCTGGGGTAGGGGAATGGGGTTGGAGCTCCCTCCCATGGCACAGCCCCATGCAAAGCCCGCTGTTTGTGTCTCTGATCCCAATGGCGCTGCCAGGACCCTGCGGGACGCCCTGGAGTCCCAGTCCCGCTCCCACTGCCAGTCCCTGTCTGGGGACACGCTGCTGCTGCTGCTGCTGGCCGAGCTCCAGGCCTACAAATCCCTGCGGGGCCCCACGGGGCCGGAGCGCTACAACGTCCTGTGCGACCTGCTGGGCCTGTGGGATCCCCAGGGAGCCTGGGACCCCCCGGGAGCGCGGGGTCCAGGGGGGAGCCGGGACCCCCCGGGAGCACCGGACCCCGGCCGGAGCCTGCCCAGGGCGGCAGCGCTGCTGGAGCTGGGCCAGCTCCTGTGCAGCCACAGCTTCAGCGCCCACACCGACTGGTGGGTGCTGATCCCAATCCTGATCCTGATCCTGATCCTGATCCCAATCCTGATCCCAATCCTGATCCCAACCCAGCTCCTGTGCAGCCACAGCTTCAGCGCCCACACCGACTGGTGGGTGCTGATCCCAATCCTGATCCTGATCCTGATCCTGATCCCAATCCTGATCCCAACCCAGCTCCTGTGCAGCCACAGCTTCAGCGCCCACACCGACTGGTGGGTGCTGATCCCAATCCTGATCCTGATCCTGATCCTGATCCCAATCCTGATCCCAACCCAGCTCCTGTGCAGCCACAGCTTCAGCGCCCACACCGACTGGTGGGTGCTGATCCCAATCCTGATCCTGATCCTGATCCTGATCCCAATCCTGATCCCAACCCAGCTCCTGTGCAGCCACAGCTTCAGCGCCCACACCGACTGGTGGGTGCTGATCCCAATCCTGATCCTGATCCTGATCCTGATCCCAATCCTGATCCCAACCCAGCTCCTGTGCAGCCACAGCTTCAGCGCCCACACCGACTGGTGGGTGCTGATCCCAATCCTGATCCTGATCCTGATCCTGATCCCAATCCTGATCCCAACCCAGCTCCTGTGCAGCCACAGCTTCAGCGCCCACACCGACTGGTGGGTGCTGATCCCAATCCTGATCCTGATCCTGATCCTGATCCCAATCCTGATCCCAACCCAGCTCCTGTGCAGCCACAGCTTCAGCGCCCACACCGACTGGTGGGTGCTGATCCCAATCCTGATCCTGATCCTGATCCTGATCCCAATCCTGATCCCAACCCAGCTCCTGTGCAGCCACAGCTTCAGCGCCCACACCGACTGGTGGGTGCTGATCCCAGTCCTGATCCTGATCCCAATCCTGATCCCAATCCTGATCCCAACCCAGCTCCTGTGCAGCCACAGCTTCAGCGCCCACACCGACTGGTGGGTGCTGATCCCAATCCTGATCCTGATCCTGATCCTGATCCCAATCCTGATCCCAATCCTGATCCCAACCCAGCTCCTGTGCAGCCACAGCTTCAGCGCCCACACCGACTGGTGGGTGCTGATCCCAATCCTGATCCTGATCCTGATCCTGATCCCAATCCTGATCCCAATCCTGATCCCAACCCAGCTCCTGTGCAGCCACAGCTTCAGCGCCCACACCGACTGGTGGGTGCTGATCCCAATCCTGATCCTGATCCTGATCCTGATCCCAATCCTGATCCCAATCCTGATCCCAACCCAGCTCCTGTGCAGCCACAGCTTCAGCGCCCACACCGACTGGTGGGTGCTGATCCTAGTCCTGATCCTGATCCCAATCCCGATCCTCCATCCTAACCCTGATCCTGATCCCAGCCCAGCTCCTGTGCAGCCACAGCTTCAGCGCCCACACCGACTGGTGGGTGCTGATCCTAGTCCTGATCCTGATCCCAATCCTGATCCTCCATCCTAACCCTGATCCTGATCCCGATCCTGATCCCAATCCTGATCCCAATCCTGATCCTGATCCCAATCCTGGTCCTCCATCCCAGTCCTGATCCCAACCCAGCTCCTGTGCAGCCACAGCTTCAGCGCCCACACCGACTGGTGGGTGCTGATCCCAGTCCTGATCCTGATCCCAATCCTGATCCTGATCCCAATCCTGATCCCAGTCCTGATCCTGATCCCAATCCTGATCCCAATCCTGATCCTCCATCCCAGTCCTGATCCCAACCCAGCTCCTGTGCAGCCACAGCTTCAGCGCCCACACCGACTGGTGGGTGCTGATCCCAGTCCTGATCCTGATCCCAATCCTGATCCTGATCCCAATCCTGATCCCAATCCTGATCCTGATCCCAATCCTGATCCCAATCCTGATCCTGATCCTCCATCCTAACCCTGATCCCGATCCTCCATCCTAGTCCTGATCCCAACCCTGATCCCAGGGCTGTTTTTGATCCCAATCCTCCATCCCAACCCTGATCCTGATCCCAGTCCTCATCCTGATCCCAACCCTGATCCCAGTCCCTCATCAACCCCAATCCCAGTTCTCATCCCAATCCTGATCCCATTCCTCCGTCCCAATCTCTCATCCCATTCCCCTATCCCAATCCCCCTATCCCATTCCTGGGATTCTGGGTGCTTGTTCCCGGGATTTTGGGGTTAATTCCCGGGATTTTGGGAATCCCTGTTCCCGCAGCTCCGCCCTGGACGCCATCCAGGAAGCCCTGAGGCTGCTGGAGTCGCTGGCCCAGAATTCCCAAACCTGCAATTCCCAAATCCGGGATCAGCTCCTGGACGAGCGCGCCCAGGCCCTGCTCTGGCTCCACATCTGCACCCTTGAGGCCCTCCTGGAAAAGGTGGGGGGGGTTTTCCTGGGATTTGGGGAAAATCCTGGAGTTTGTGCCCCAAACCCTTCCTGGGGGACGATTTTCCTGGGATTCTGGGGCACCCAGATTTCCCAGGGTGATTTTCCCAGGATTTTGGGAAATTCTGGAGTTCCCTGGGTGCCCCAAACCCATCCCAGGGATGATTTTCCCGGGATTTTGGGGAATTCTGGAGTTCCCAAACCCTTCCCAGGATTTTAGGGATTCCTGGAGTTCCCTGGGTACCCCAGACCCTTTCTGGGGTGCGATTTCCTTGGGATTTTGGGGAATCCTTGAGTTCTCAGGGTGCAATTTTCCCGGGATTTTGGGCATTCCTGGAGTTCCCAGGGTGCAATTTTCCCAGGATTTTTGGGATTTTGAGCATTCCTGGAGTTCCCAGGGTGCGATTTTCCTGGGACTTTGGGCATTCCTGGAGTTCCCTGGGTGTGATTTTCCCGGGATTTTGGGGAATCCTGGGGTTCCCAGGGTGCAATTTTCCCGGGATTTTGGGGATTTTGGGCATTCCTGGAGTTCCCTGGGTGCAATTTTCCCGGGATTTTGGGGAATCCTGGAGTTCCCTGGGTGCGATTTTCCCGGGATTTTGAGCATTCCTGGAGTTCCCTGGGTGCAATTTTCCCGGGATTTTGAGCATTCCTGGAGTTCCCTGGGTGTGATTTTCCTGGAATTTTGGGCATTCGTGGAGTTCCCTGGGTGCGATTTTCCCGGGACTTTGGGCATTCCTGGAGTTCCCTGGGTGCGATTTTCCCGGGATTTTGAGCATTCCTGGAGTTCCCAGGGTGCGATTTTCCCGGGATTTTGGGCATTCCTGGAGTTCCCTGGGTGCAATTTTCCCGGGATTTTGGGGAATCCTGGAGTTCCCTGGGTGCGATTTTCCCGGGATTTTGGGCATTCCTGGAGTTCCCTGGGTGCAATTTTCCCGGGATTTTGAGCATTCCTGGAGTTCCCTGGGTGCAATTTTTCCGGGATTTTTGGGATTTTGAGCATTCCTGGAGTTCCCAGGGTGCGATTTTCCCGGGATTTTGGGCATTCCTAGAGTTCCCAGGGTGCGATTTTCCCGGGACTTTGGGCATTCCTGGAGTTCCCTGGGTGCGATTTTCCCGGGATTTTGAGCATTCCTGGAGTTCCCAGGGTGCGATTTTCCCGGGATTTTGGGCATTCCTAGAGTTCCCAGGGTGCGATTTTCCCGGGACTTTGGGCATTCCTGGAGTTCCCTGGGTGCGATTTTCCCGGGATTTTGAGCATTCCTGGAGTTCCCAGGGTGCGATTTTCCCGGGATTTTGGGCATTCCT